AACCTAGTTCTGCTTATTGAACAAGTAGAAAATAAATCAGCTTTTATGGTCCAGCCTATGAGAACAGAATTTAATGACCATGTTGCCCACTTGTAAAAATATTTAGAAACCTTGGTCTACATTACTGATTTCTGTATTTTAATGACTCTACAGACAATTATGTTCAGCTCACCAACATATTCTCAAGAAGGATATTAAAAGTATAAAGGATGTCCCACATACATCTGACATTACATGTCCGATAGACAGTTGTGCTTCAAGATTAATATAAACTGTCTTCACAAACACAAAAACCAGCAAAATATGGATAATTATTTACCAACCCCATTTTTTTTAATGTGATTTTTCTTAATATCTTCTTTGGTAGATATTAACGCAGCAACGTCGTCGTATTTCATCGAGAAGTCCCTCAACACCTCACTGCCTATGGAGGCACTAAGGTCAACCAGAAAGCTTGTGTTAGGATAAGAAGGTTGAGACCGCTGGAAGATAAATTTAATATTCTTGCCAAATTGTTTCTTAGGTCCATTCTGTGACTTGTCTCCACTTTTCACATACTCAATGCATTCATCAGACAACTGCGACGTAATGAGGGACACACACTGGAAAGGAGAAGAATTATATGCCATGAAACACACAGTAAAAGCTGCTCATGACAGGAACCCAGGAGATTTTACAGAGGTTCATTTTTAATGAAAGCACATGTCTACAAACAGAAAAAAAAATATTGTGCAGTATATAATTAATTTGTGACACGGATCAGAAATTCATGCTACATGTAGGATCGCCGAGAAATCACCGTACCCTTACTTATTATCAAGAGACAAGTTGCAGAGGGCTGTGAAACAGGCATTCATTTCCATGACGCCTCAAATTCTTTGGCACGTCACGCAGAACACGGCAGTGCATCATGCCACGCTTGAAACATGACGGTGCACATGCAGATTCACTTGATGTACAGCGACTCTCACCACATGGTATTTAAGTGGGGGTACATGACTTCTCGGGCCACCCCGCATATACACAACACATTACTGAGAAAATCATGTTTCCAGCCTCTTATCTTCTTTATTCCAGTAGTTCACCGAGTATTCTGTGTCAAGAACTACAAATTCAACATTCAGCCTTAAACTAGAATACAGGTAATTCTGAAGGCCCCTTACATGACACACTTTGGCAGCTAAGTTTGACGAGACTGACCCAAACATCTGCTTAAGCATCAACAGATGCTTCTGGGAAACGAGACTCTCGCACAGAAAAAGTCTCAGCAGAAAAACAGCTGCCTCGTCCACTGTTTCCTTACTCTGCTCACCGCCTGTGAACACAAACTTCAGCTATAACTTTTCGACCTCAGGATCGATAAGCACGAATGTGGTCCCAGGTCTGGAAAGGATGACAACCCCTGATTTATCATTTTCCTTCTTCATAGATCCAACATACTGAAATAACGTCACTGCTCATTCCTTACCAGTCAGGTCAACGGCCAGTGTCCGAAGGCAATGCAAATGTTTTACAGTATCTTTCGGTAATCTTCCATCCTTCTCTATAACATGCTGTATGTCCGTCCATGTGAGACCCCTACAATACAATGAAAGGGTACGCTAGAATGCTGTCACATTTTATAATATTTATCAAAACAGTCCCTGTTTAGTTTTGTTAGCAAAGCGGGTCCCTGATTCCGCAAGGCATCTCAAGATTTCATGGGCATTATTAATGTATCAAAACTCTCAAAAAAATCCTTGACAAATACATTGGAAACTTTCGCCAGCTAGAGGAAGAGAAAAAGGAGTTGAAGGAGACTGGATTTTGTTCGATCAGGACTGGGTCTGGTGGAGGGCTTTGGTTGATTCGGTGATGAACCTTCTGGTTCCATAAGTCATCTAGTTAGTTCGTTAGAGCTAGAGAAAAACGGGAGGTTAATAAAAAAGAGTAGGAGCTACTGGCTGCCTGTTCTGTAACAAAACATTTCAGATCAAGATCTAAACTAATGACAAGCACAAAGTTAATACACTTAAATTTAGCTCATGTCTTAAAGCGGTTCTCTAAATACATTGAACTATCTTTTGGGCATTAAAAATATGTATTTAAACAAATCAGAAATTATCTAACTTGGCACTTTACTTGTAGAATTATTTAATGTGACATGTCACTAAAATAGTTTCAGTATAATAAACAGAAAAAAACTCACTCTTTCAGTCGATTTGCTTTCCACTGTCGATACGCCTGTATATCATCATCTTCTGATATTAAACTATTTGGTCGAACTAAATCCGAAAACGCCCGAAAGGAACTAGTGAGGCGAGGAAGTTTGTATTCCATATCTGTAGCAGCAGCAAATCATCTGAATATAAAAATATGAATACAAATGCACAAACACAGAGACGAAAACACGTACATCATGAAAGACCCAACATAATAAACACGAAGATTTGTGGTTCCCAATGGCAATTAATATGTTGAACAACGCTACATTTCGGAAGCTGGATCTGCTTCCGTCTTCAGGTTAAAATTGGGGGGAGGGGCACCTACTCAGTTGCATCTGATAGAAAGAGCTAACCTCAGGTTCCTATTATACATGAGTTACATTTTATTGCTGTCAGGAACAGCAACATAAATTTGTGTTTGTGTAAATTCAATTTCTCCAGGCCAGTATATCATAAATACATTTTTATAAAACTAGCATAAAATTACAATCCTATTGCACAACTTTTGAAATAAACATTTGGCAACAGGAAATGCTATTTTATTTCGCATACAGCTATATGTGAGACACTTCTATATCTAATACGTATGGATAAAGATCCTGTATGTTATAATGATGACGACAGAGCAGAAGAAACAATATCTGAATTATTTTACCAGTCTTCATTTGTGTCACATGGAACGTCACACTCGAAAATTAAAAACAGTAACATGAACTGGCAAAATTGCAACAGCATGTGAATTATTTTCAGATAACTTGCTCACAGCTTTCGAAAACACCTAAACAGGCCACTGGACTGTCTACCAAACAAAACTGTGCTTTTACCAACTGCTACTGCCAGATCCGTAAAAAGCAGATAGGTTATCTATGTCAGCGGCATCCATAAAATGGTTCGACAGTCTTATTCTAGAAATGCAAATACTCATGGGCTGCCATCTATAAGTAGCCTGGAGAAGTTAATACGATGTTCACGATCAGTATCTTGACTAGGTCGATAATAATATACTAGCGAAGCTTAACGGAATGTGCCATTCGATAACATCAATCAGACGATTCTCGAATAATCGATTTGTGACAATCAAAGAAAAATATTTGAACTATGAAACTTGAAAAAAAAAAATCATATGACGGAAAGTAGTATAACGAATAGCTGTTACGAAATCTGTTTTTGTACTGAAGATGGCTGTCTTGTGGGTTATTGAGCCGTGAAGTCTGGTAGAAGTTTACGGACGTTTCAGAAGTCCTTGCTGCCTCCATCATCAGGGCCCTGATGATGGAGACAGCAAGGACCTCTGAAACATCAGTAAACTTCTAACAGAACTGCCAGCATCTCACGAAAACCTGCTCCATGAGGACAGATCGTCTAAATGTGAGATATATTATGAGAGAAAATAAACTTCGAGTGATTCATACATAAAAAAGATTACTTTCTGGACGATTATCCAAAATAAAGGTTTCAATTTATTTCATTATAATGGTACATTAATCTCCTTCAAACCACACAAAAATTAAGACAGTGAGGTGGGGAGTCAGTAGAGATAGTTTACTTTCTATGGACAAAAAAATATTCATTTTTTTAACATTTACTGTAAGGAGCTGCTTTACAAACTAAATCCACGTAACACTCCGTTCTGAGATACTGACGGCCGCTCAGATGGCCAAGAAATTTGCCAGCTTTTATGGGATATAGAGGTTCATTATCATGTTTACAAGTACCCGCTACTGGTCTGTACTCTGAGCCAGTTTAATCCACTTAACACTCGTAAATGTACTTCTTTAAGAGTCTGTATGACATCAGCCATCCATCAACGCTTAGACCTCCGAAGTTGCTGGTTTCCTTCATGTTTTCAGACTACTTATTATTCAGAATGTGTACCAGGTGCATCGCCTTTAATTACTACTAAATTCATTGTATCAAGACACTAGCTGCTTGGTTTTTTTATCAAATCCATGATTTGTTAGGCCACTTTCAATAATTCGGCATTATCCAAGGCCACTTTCAATAATTCGGCATTGTCCAAGGCCACTTTCAATAATTCGGCATTATCCAAGGCCACTTTCAATAATTCGGCATTATCCAAGGCCACTTTCAATAATTCGGCATTGTCCGAGGCCACTTCCAATAATTCGGCATTGTCCGAGGCCACTTCCAATAATTCGGCATTGTCCGAGGCCACTTTCAATAATTCGGCATTGTCCGAGGCCACTTCCAATAATTCGGCATTGTCCGAGGCCACTTCCAATAATTCGGCATTGTCCGAGGCCACTTCCAATAATTCGGCATTGTCCGAGGCCAATTGAAATAATTCATGTCACTCACATCGCCTAAGTTTCGTTATTGTTATCCCAGACCGACTACAAAACTGGAGTATCACCTCTTGTCGGATGTTCGAGATCATTCAACGTACGTGACGTGCCCGTTACAGTTGCCCGTACTTAACCAAAAAAGTGGCGAATATCGACAAGTTTTAGTAAAACTCCGCCATATCAAATTTCACGAAAATTAATTCAAGTTATTTTCCATTTCCTATACGCAGATAGGATTTTTTGTGATTTTCAGTTTCGAAAGCGCCCAAAAACCACCAGTGAAAGGGTTATAATATCTTAATGTTTTACTGAACGGAAATACCAATACCGAAATGGGACTACGCCGTGGCGCGGATTGATACATTGTCCGGCCAAGTGAGCGCGAGGCATGGACCATTCGCTGCATTTATTGAACTATGCAGCCTACCCCGGAAATTTATTTGCTGTTAGGACAATAGCGTGTGTTGTCTGAATTGAGACGAGTGAATCGAATCGGACCCTTGAAATTGTGTTTCTTTTCTTCGACTAAAACCGATGAAATGCGGGAAAGCAGCCCGAAATCTGTGACTGAATTGTAGGTCATGACAGTTCACACTATTTTGCCAGAATCACGGGAAATGGACGTGATATTTTCACTTTTATTCTTCATACTCCTCCGACTCATTCGCGGGGGAAAAAAAAACTCGAATGGCACGCGAATGTTTTTTGAAAAGTCTGATCCACCATCAAGGGAGACCTACAATTTGACAGAATAAGAATTTAGAAAATCGTTCTAAAGGAGTTATCAAATTTTAAATAGGGTAAAGGAACAAGAGCGTGAAGCTGACCGAGTGTCTTGTATCTAAAGACAGGGTATCGAATGCGTGGATCTTTAATCCCATGTCTCTTAGACGCCTTAATAGTATCCTACTTAGATACAGCGCAAGGGATACGAATGGAATGAAGAGAAATCACGTCCAATCATTTAACAGCAAGCGAATTAAAAGTGATTTTATTAATACGTCATAGCTTTTGGGGACAGACCACTTCGAAGACTCATTCTTCGTTGGGGAAGATAATATTAAAGCGGATAAACGGGTTCTGCGAATGGAGTGAACTTAGGCTCTTTATTTTTGAGAACACGGCTATTAATTTTCGTGTTCCAAGACAGGGCAGTCATCGATCGAATTTGTACCTGTAAACTGCTCATGAAAGTTTGTCAGTCTTTTAGTTAATCGGTGGTATCGCCAGCTGCTGGCCCACTGGTACTGATACCCACCTGACACTACTTCCTCTAGCTTCAGATGTGAAAACAAAAGAACAGATCTGTGTAAGAACAGCAAATGAATTAGTTTTGTGCACGAGTTTTAGTTGTCGCCTTTTTATTTCACAGAACAATGAGTGATGTGAAACAGAGGCAAAGATTCTTGAAAAGAAACACCGACTGATCCCAATAGATCACAACAAACGCCAGTTTTTGCTGGTGGCCGCCCCATATTCTGCGAATCAGTCACCATCCTCCCCTGGCGGTTCATCTCGCCCTGGTATATATATATCGGAGACATCAGCTGATGTCAGTATCAGTTACCTGTGCAGAGCACCTCAATCGACAAGTCTCTTGGAAGACCATCCCTGGTGAGTTACAGTATCAGATAATCTCTTAACGAAATGTTGATCTTCAAATTCGTTCTCAGTTCCATCACTCATTAGTCTCCATTTTAATTCCTGACTTCACAGCGCAGAAAATTCAGCAATGCTTTTTAAACTGTTGTATCTTAAGAATTATTTTAAAATATAGCTTCTTAATTTAATTAAAAAATCTATAAAGCATCTTCATCACAATTACCAACTGGTTTCAAAGCTGTTTAATGAAATCGTAGAAATTTACTGTAAAAATCACGAAACCAACAAATAGACCATGTGGACAAAATTTAGAGTTATTTATTATTAAATCAGATGGTACATATAGTTACCAAGAGGCCTTAAAATGTTAAGACACGCGAAAGTTCATGAACGTATTCACAAGTCAGGCCTTGTACCAACCCTGAAGTCCTCCACATTTCGTCTATGTTCATGCCTCTTCTAGAATTTTTCTTACCGAAATTCTGCGTTGTATTCTCCTTCCCCCACGGATATTATACGTCGTAACTCATTCTCCTTTAATCAGTTCACCCTAACAGCATATTTAATAAAATAATATCGATTATCAAAATTGTCACGCATTTCTTTTGTAGCATCCTGTAACTTAACCTCACTTAAATCCGTATATTCTTCTCAGCAGTCTTTAAACCATCAGTCAGATACCAAATTTCACGGCTACGAAAATTAAAGAAGTACCATTTCATTACGCAGTTTTGTCTTTAGGCAAATTATGGTAAAAGATTCAGAGCTGAACGTCATAAGGTACTTACTTTAGACCACTGTTTAATTCAGCGGTTCTCCGTTCCTGACTCACGTACGCAAAAATCTCACTGCTATTATCACAACTAAACACGCTTGCTTAATAAATAACGTTCTTACGTGGTATACAAAGCTTTAATCGAAAGTCCTGAAACCAATAGACCACTTTAAAGACCTAGGAGTAGACGAAAATATAATATTAAAATGGATCACAAAAATATTAGATAAACTGGTAAAAGAAATGAATTTCATCACTTTTATGGAAACAAAAGAATTATTACAGTGTTCTTAGAAGCCTGAAACTTGTCTCTAATCTACGCTACATGAATTTGTGAGCAATCAAATTCAAAGAAGGGAAAAATGCCCACTACCGAATACGAATTTAAAAATAAACATGTACTGGATTGAAGTTCACTGCTTCTATCCTGAGGTGAGATTTCAGGTTCTAAGATGTTGTGTCCTGCAGTCTCGTAGAAAAGGACCGACGTTTCAGAGGTGTTTATTGCCTGAATCATCGCTCTATGTGTGAAAAAGTTTAAGAATTCCCAGAGGTATAAAATGAGAACAAACATAACCTCACAACTGTGCGTTAATTTTATGCTCTTTTTACAAAGAAGCCGTCTGAATGTAACACCAGAGCTCACATAATGAAGTTTTAGTCAACTGACAGTCTGAAAGTCACTACAGATAGAAGTTACATCTTTTTGTCTTACTCTCTCAATCAATCTGTGACGGCTGGCATCAAACGAGGCCCCCGTCGTAAATTTCACCAAACACCATGAAGTGAACGAGATTACGTTCTTCTTTACATTTTTTTTATAATTTCCACAGATAAAAACAAGCAAACCAGACGAAGCATAAGCCTGGCTATAAAACGCTGTCCGTTTTTCTTTTGTTATTTTTTTGTGCAAATAGAACAACAGTTCGCGCCATCGCCTTATCGGAATTCTAAAAAGGCATAAAAAGATCTCACGCAGTATAAGCAGCAGACAAGTTTATTATCTTCTGTGAAACAGAATGGTTCATTATTCGGCGTTTAACAATAACATTCAACCTTGCAATAAATTCGTTTTACAAAAGCTGAAAGAAACAGTGGCCAACTTTCTTATTACTTATCAACATGGCGCCACTGGTCTTATTAATGCCTGTAAATACACGGCCCCCTTGAGACGAAACAAGTGCGAGCGGCAAAGCGCTTTATTTTCTCCCGGCAAACAAAATACTGAAAAAGTTATTAAGAATAGATTTCATTCACGACTTTAGATGTTTATTGAACGATGTAATTTCAGTTAAAATATTTCGGATCCGGTTTCTGCTTACAGGAATGAAACAATAAACTATTAATACTGCAGTTTAACTGCTTCTCTCTCAACAATAGTATTTGGGATGCTCTGCAGTTACCTGACACTTTCAACAATAGACTTGTCCTCCAATAAACGTACACGATGACGAATGGCGGTAGAAAAATGACAAAGAATGCAATTGTTCATATTCTCTTTGGTAAAATTGATTAAAAACTGTCGTTATTTCACACATTTTCGAACAGAACTGTTACAGAAATGTGTCTATTCAGCGATTTAGAAACACCATTAAAAATATTAATAATAATAATTTTAACTTAAAATCCACATTTTTCATTCCAGACTCCTTGTAGTAAAATCTTACTTCAACTCAAGATGAAAGTCAAGTGTCTGATCCTCTTCGTTTGCTTTGGTAAGTAAAAACCTATTGCATCATTGTTTCACATGCCCAAAATTACAACACATAATATCAGACAAAATAATTCGAAATTATTATCCATTCGACGTATTGTTATATCACGTAATTACTTGGTTATTGGAGTAAAGAAAAGTTGTATAATGCAACTAGAAAGCAGCTCACATTGTTCAACACTGAATGAAATTTACACTTGAACAGTTTAAGAAGTCCTAAACCGATGAAACCGTTCCAAATAATCGACATTCCTACCGTTAATTAGCATTAAAATGTAATCTGGAACACCACGTCACAATTGTTGTTGGATTTACAGGCGTAGCTGCCTGCATTCCAACTGATCTAGCAGCAGAGGAGTCCTCTATGCTGGAAATCAGAGTGAGTTAATTACTAGACTATTTTTAATCGTATTACATATATCAATTGACTAATCTGGCCCTGTCTGAGTAACTTATAATACATTAATAAGGGGCAATTAATAAACAAAGTCTTCACTTTTTCTTGAATTTGCCTGGAGTGACTGAGAAAGACCACACAAATCTCAGTAAGGATAGCGAGTCTCCGGGGCAAGATTTGAACCCGTAACCTCCAGAATACGAACCAGGAATGATAACCGTTGTGTAATACTGTGACTATTATTAAATTTGCACACGATGTTAGAAGGCGTCTGCTAAACTGTGTCCCCGGGGCTCAGTACGTAATGGCTTCTAGAAAACACATTTTAAAATTCCACGCCAAACTGTTTACCTCGACCTAGTGACGTAAGAAAATAAGAAGTGTAACTCACACTCCTGGCCGTTCTGTTGCAGGCAAAGCGTGAACATTCAGTCAACGAGAATGACCATGACTTTGGCAACCTGGGTTCCGCCACCAAGAATTACGGCTATGGGGGTGCCTACGGAGGCAATGGACACCACCACGGCGTGGGGTACAGCATCGGCAGTGGCTTGGTGTCAATCGCCCAGGGTGCAGCTGACCAGGCCAATACTGCCATCCAGAACCAGCACGAAGCCGGCGGGCAAGCAGCTTTCCAGGCGAAGAACAGTCTTGCGCAGAACGCAGCTGCGGCCGCAGCTACCGCGCAGGCAGCCCTAACAGGAAAGCAAGTAATCGTGAGCAACCTAGAGCAGCAAGCCCGCGACACTCAGGGCCAGGTCGACTCCGAGGCTCAGCAGCTGACACAAGCCCAGCGCGCAGCCGCGGCTACCCAGCACTCTGCCCAGCACGCCCAGGCACAGGTAGGAGGGGGAAATGTGGTATTGGTTCAGCTACGCATGCGCAGACCGCGTCATACTACCCCACCTCCCCTCAGCCCGCCCGTCTTTACGACGCGGGCAATAGTTACGTGACAATGATTCCCAATGCGCATCCCACCTTCTCATGCGACAGCGACTATAGATGAGTCACAATTCCGCAGGTCCGGTCGCTGACAGCTGCCCTGAACGCCGCACAAACCAACGCTGACCAGGCAGTACGAGCTGCACAGGAAGCTGCGTCAGAAATGGCATCTCAGAGCAACATGTTGGCGGCTGCCAAGCAGCGTCTGGCCGTCGTGACGGATCAGCTGGCTGACGCACGAGCAGATCTCGAGGCCACACAGAATGCAGCACACCGGGCCGCTGCTGCTGCCCAGACAGCCCAGGCCAATGCTGCCAAACACGCTGTTGGCATCCATGGAGGATTCGACGATGCAGGTTTCAGGGGTGGCTTCCATCATCATTTCTAGTTTAGCTTCAGTCCACTTTCTTACCTCTCTCAATTCCTTAGTTACTTTCTTCTTTATTAACAACCTTCTATTATCCTATTATCGTTTATTCCGTCCTTAATCCATTCTTTTCTTTCTTCCCACTTTCCCTCCTTCTGCTCTTTTATTTCTCCCCTCGTTGATTCGTTCTTCCTCTTTCCATACTTCTCGTCCCTGATATATCCAAGGGACGTCTATTTACCAGTGCAATATACATATATACACAGATATTTAGAAATTAACACCTACTTATATTATACAATGTGTAAGTACAGGCTACTGAGGTTGGAACAGGACAAACACATGACATTCCACAGGAATGCACAATGTGTGGAACGTAGCTCACTCTTACACCAAACCTATAATAAAATTGTTTGCTGTTAATTCTGTTTCTTCATGCTAAGGCTTCAGGCATGTTTATGTAAGAATGGCTTTTATAATAAAGAGAAGCTTATTAACAAGAGATGTGCACTTTATTCGTCATGATCTATCCTATTCTTTAAAACGTAAGCCCCGAAAGAATTTTTAACTGCAATTATCAAAAATGACTACTGGCGTCGCGACGCTTGAATCCGCTTTCCTACTTCTACGCCATGCGGAGGGTCATCAATGCTAAATAATGAATGATATGACGTCGTCGCCACGAATACAGGCCGACGCGCTCCGTCGGTTTCCAACGGCATCTCGAGACTCACCTGCGGTTTCTATGGTTTCCCTGATGGCGTCTCGGAGGAACGCATCGCGACACTAGGCGTCGCTTTCCCTATTTCATTTCTGTTGATGGGCCATCGCCCAACTGTGTAACAACCTGTCTTCTGTTGGGGTTGCTTAAGGGTGACAATTAGCTGAAAACTGTGTAGGTGACCGGAAAACTGCATAAAGATGATCTTAAAAATCTGTACTCCTTCCCCAATATTGTCAGGGTGATTAAGTCGAGAAGAGTGAGATGGGCGGGACATGTAGCGCGCATGGATGGGACAAGAGGTGTGCACCGGGTAGCCTGAGGGGAAGAGACCGCTGGGGAGACCTAGACGTAGATGGGAGGATAATCTCAGGCGGGATCTATGGGAGATAGGAGTTGAAGGAGACTGAATTTTGTTGGCCCAGGACAGGGCTTTGGTTAATTCGGTGATGAACCTTCGGGTTCGGTAAGCCATCTGGTTGGTTGGGTCCACTATTTAGGAAGCCTGAGGGGAAGAGACCTCTCGGGAGACCTAGACGTAGATGGGAGGATAATCTCAGGCGGGATCTATGGGAGATAGGAGTTGAAGGAGACTGAATTTTGTTGGCCCAGGACAGGGCTTTGGTTAATTCGGTGATGAACCTTCGGGTTCGGTAAGCCATCTGGTTGGTTGGGTCCACTATTTAGGAAGCCTGAGGGGAAGAGACCTCTCGGGAGACCTAGACGTAGATGGGAGGATAATCTCAGGCGGGATCTATGGGAGATAGGAGTTGAAGGAGACTGAATTTTGTTGGCCCAGGACAGGGTCTGGTGGAGGGCTTTGGTTGATTCGGTGATGACCCTTTGGGTTCGGTAAGCCATCTAGTTACTAGGTGACCGGAAGGGAATAGAAGAGGACAGTAGAACAAGGAATACGGAAAAAGAATATAAAGAACAAGAGACGACGAGACGAGACAGGAGAAGTGGTTAAAACAAAACGGATAACTGAAGAAACGTGAACGGCTGAGAGGACAGAGGAGAACGTGGTAGTAAAGAACAGAGGAAAATGAAGAGAGAATAGAGGACGAGAGGATACGAGAACTGAAGAAAGAAGAGTGACGACTATGTTAGGTTAGTTTATTTTAGGGTAAGTTGTATAGTGACACTTTAATGTCGGCGTCGCTGCGTTAGCCGTTGCAAATCGGCGTCATTTTATAACGTCGTGCACACTGACTTCCCGACGCTCACCGTCGCTTTTCCAATGGCATTTCCAAACGCACCCGAAGACCTTCTGTATTAAATTTGGGGTCTCTACGGACCGCAACGACGACAGTCGTCGCGACGCTCGGCGTCGATTATGAAAATTCTTCTTAAATGGCACGCAAAATGCCAGTGGTGAAAAGGGATTCATGCACGTTGTCGAGATTGGCAGCGTCGGGACGCCCGGCGTCTATTTTCTAAAATACTTTTAATAGTGTCCTGACGTCCATATGCAACTACTAAGGCGTCCCTAGTCATTTTCATGAGTACTGGCGTCGCGACGCCCGGCGTCGGTTTTCCAAAATCGTTTTAATTGCGTCTTGACTTCCATTTGCAGTATACTGTGGCGTCACTTGGCTGTTTCATGAGTACCGGCGTCGGTTTTCTAACATCGTTTAAAATAGCGTCCTGGAGTTCACATGCAATATATATGGCATCGCTGGGCAGTTTCAAGAGCAATGGCGTCGCGACGCCCAGCGTCGGTGTTGCTAATAATTTTTAATGCCAGACAGAGGGTCAATAGTGCCAAACACGGCTTCGTCCACGTCGTGATAAGTAACGTCACGACGTCCGGCGTCGGTTTCCTAAAATCGTTTTAAATGTGTCCTGACGTCAATCTGCAGTATAATATGGTGTCCGTTGGCTGTTTTATGAGTACTGGCGTCGCGATGTCCTGCGTCGGTTTTAACAGCGTCCAAACTTCCGCCTGCAATATGTGGCGTCTTTTGGCCGTTTCAGGAGTAGACGTCGCGACTCCCTTCTTCGATTCTGTAACTTCCCATTGCAGGCCATGTAGATAGTTACTAATACTACATATAGCAAGAATGGACGTCGTCGGGACAAATGACGCGCTTGGAAG